TGAGTGACCCTAATAAATTATAGATTTTATTAATTAAATTTTTTGGGTACAGTAGAGGAATATTAGCATTAATGCTAATATGTAACTATATTATAAATTGTGATAAAATTCGTTAAATTCTGTGTAATGACATATATCTTGTTTACATTTGAATTTTGCAAATACCCGGAGGAAGTTAATTGTTGTCCCCCGGGGTGTCTACGTTTCCCTGAAATTGCAGAAAGTTTATTTTACGACCGTTTCTGTTATAATGTGGTCCTTGTCTGTTATTATTGGGCCTGTTATTGTGGTTATTATTGTTGGTTGGTCTAAAATTGTTGCGGTTGTTGTAGTTGTTTGGTCTTTGTATAGTACTATTATTGTAAAAGTTGTTATTACTGTTGTTGTTTCTAGATTTATTATTATTTGTCATGCTGAAATTGTTATTGTTGCCTGAATTGTTGTTTTTTCTGAAAGTGTTTTTGTTGGGGTACCTTCTATGGTCATTAGTGTTGTAGTTATTGCGATTATTGTATCGTTTATTATTAGAGATAAACATAACCCTTGCGTTGTTATTATCATTAATTTGTTTAAGTTCTAGGGCTAGATCTACGGCTGTGTCTAAAGATTTTGGGAGTGCGGAAAAAATAGTTTGTTTAAATTGGTCGTTTAAACCATTTTTAAATACGGTTAAGCTATATTGTTCATTTAGCTGAGTGATAAGTGTTTTTTGTTCAAGTGTGGCATTAGGGCCAATTTGTGCTATTTGAAGTTTATTTAGCTCGGATATTAAATAGAGAATTTTATTTTTGTAGTTAGAAATGTTTAGATTTCTCTGCGTTAAGTTGGCTAGTTGGTTTTGTAGTTTCGGTATAGTGGTTGTTGTTTTATATTTACTTGATAACAGGTTTTTTAATTCTTCTAGTGTTGTGGGCTGTTGAATCGCAGTTATGTTTGTTCGTACTATTTGCGATAATTTTACATAAAGTATAAAATCAATAAGTGAACTTTTGCCTGTAGGCGTGAGACCATTGTAAATAATTTCAATTATTTTTATGAAAGGTTCTAGATCTCTGTGATTTCCTAAGAAGCTGGGAATAGCCTTTGTAGCTACTTCTAAATTGAAGTCAGACATGGTTCTTCTTGTGTTATCAGATTCAGTGTTTGAATTTTCAGGAATGTAGGTGATTGGTGTTGATATTGGTGTTGATATAGAGTGTGGTATTGACATATCAATATTGTATTGTGATAATATTTTTATCAATTTGTCTCTTAAATGCCAGAAAATTTCTAAACCAGTTTCTTTATGTTCTTTTGAAAACTTTTCGTTGTATACGTTTAGTATACTTCTTATTGATTCAAGTGTGGAGAAAAGTGTTTGTAAATTCTTGTTTACAGTATCTTTCTTGATTTTTATAGTTTTATTTAAGCATTTATATGCTTTATTAAAATTTTCTTTTTCGACTAATATATTTTGGTAAATTTTTTGCCATGTGGCCATTATATGTTCTTATTCATATTTGTACCTGTTGTCTAACAACGTTACGTTTTAATTTCTTATAAACTTGCTTAACGATAAATGAGATTATTATTATTATTACAGTTATTGATAATATAATTTCTAAATAACTTACATTTGACATATTATTGTTTACAATATTATTGTTTTTATTTTCAATTGTTTTGCCTATTTCATATCCTGTGAATATGAGTGGAATTGAAGTAACCATTTTCTTCCAAAATCCCATTTTTGTAATAAAAATATTTTTTTTTTTTTCTTATAAATTTTTAATTTGTTGATTTACGTAATTTATCAGTTTAAAATGTTTATTATCTATATGTTTAGTTAATTTTTTACTTGTATGGTAACTTTTACCACAAACAAAACAATTGAAATTATTCATAATAAAAAAAAATTTTAATTTTTTTTTTTGACAAAAATACAAAATATAATATAGATGTATAAAAAAAATATAATTTATTAATTCTTCTTATTCCTGTTTCTGCGCAAGTCCTTTATCTCCAGCTTGATGTTCTTCTTTTCTGCAACCTCTCGAAAGAAAAGAAGGTTGTACCTCTCGTACAGTTGAGCAATTTGCTTTCGTTGGCGGAATGCTTTTCCTCTCCGTCTGTTTGGCTTCTTTTTTGGTGGTGGATTGACAGGTGTGGTAGGTCTTTTTCTTGCCTCTTGTCGCCTTTTGTATTCTTCTATTGTAATTGCTTTTGGGCCGGCTGACCGTGGTGTTGGTACATACGTCGGATATGCTTCTTCGTGTTGCACCACTTGTTCTGGAACGTATTCTTCTGATTTTGTATTCGTCGCTTGAAGTATCAATTCGTATTTGCGAAAAATTGCGTGGAAGGTCGCTTCATCTACCATATCGTGTTGATTTCAATTAATTCAAATGGTATAGTTTCTAATTGGTCCGCTTGGCACTGAAGCCTGCAGGATCGCCATGTAATGGCAGGATTGCCATGTAATGTAATGATTGCCATGTAATGTAACTTCTTTGTAATGGAACTAGTGTAATGAATGGCAGGATCGCCATGTAATGTATAAATGGATGTATGGGCAATATTCAATCAATGTAATGGCTGGATCACCATGTAATGTGTTAACCCGTTCAGATGTAGACAGGATCGTCAGGTAAAATGAGACGTAATACTTGTCTTGTGAGTGCGTGTAATTATTCCTGCCTGATACGAGCATGCATCCAAAACCTACTGATGCAATCAAGAACAAGTTATCAAGCGGCTTGTTACCGCTGGTACCTAGACCAGTGTTACTTGGCCAGAAGGAGTGAGAATAAATTCAACAATACATATATTTCTGCAGTCATAAGTATATTCTTGATTTTATTGAACAATAGTTTAGGTATTTATACATTTTTCTAGATTATAGCGATCTCATGACTCCGCCTCTTTATTCCAGACAAAACCTGGAAAAGTATAACCGCAGCCAATCAAAGTGATTGCTGACCTTGCAGAATGCATTGCATAGCGACTACACTGTTTGCTCATTTAAGTCAAACGTCAAAGTTATTATTAGAGTGCATTGACAATATTGCTTGCACATGTCTTTTGCAATATAGGAAATATTACTATTGAAAATATTGTAACATGTGTTCAGCAATTGGAACAGCGTGTGGCAATACTTTCGTTGGTAATATGAAACTCTTTTGTTTATGTCGCTTTGCTTATGCTTCTTGTACGGTATGCATGAAGTGCAACCAATTCATAAATCTGCTTACTATTTTTATTTATGAGTAATGTTAAGTGGCTAAGAAGTAAGTGAGGTAGGTCCACTACAATACATTACACTGGTAATTGGTTCCTGTCCGTCCCGTCGAAATCGTTCACGTTTCGAATTAATTGGTGTACATTATTCAGGGTATCTAGAGCCATTTTACTAGTTTAGAATATTGTAATAATTTTTGAAGAAATCAAAATGTCACAGAGTCAAAGAAATAATAGAGTTATCTAATCAAAATTTAAAACAGACAAAGATACAATTTCAGATTCAAAATCATGTGTTTATTATTTATTAAAATTAGAATATAATTACATTTATTTAGAATAAAGTTTAGAATAAAGTTGATATAAGTTGTATGTTAAATACTAAAAATATAAATGTTATAAAAGAAAAATAAAATTTCTGACTTCCCTTTTTGGTCCGTTTATTTTATTGTCGGCTGGTTGATTGTTGTTACTTGTTGCTGGTTCGCTGCTTGTCTTGTTTATTATTATTGGCACTGTTTGATGTTATGTAAACTGCTCCCTCACTTTTCACAGTATTTTAGTTTTGTGTATCCTTTTGATTTATTTATTAGATCTTTTACAGTGTTCATTTGAATACAATTATATATTTTTTTTCTAATAATACCCGTTTTTTTTTCATATAGGCGATGGCTTTTTTGCCTGCTTCACTATTGCACTATTTATTTTTTTGGTTAATCTCTCTGCTTTTTCGAACGAGGTTTTGTGAGAGTTTTGATGGTCTTTTAAATTTTTTTTTGATTTAAAATCCTTTTCGCAAAAGCCACAAAGATTATGTATTTTTAAATGAAGTTTGTAACGAACTTTTTCGGCCCTATCTTCAGCCGGGTATAACTCAGCGAGTATACCAGGGGTACGTTAAAAAAATTTTAAATAAGAACAGGAGACACTGTGTTTCGTGTTTTTAGGATGATGTTTATTAGAATTAATGAGAATTTTTAAAGTTAGAGATTAACTAAAACCAAAGCGTTGATTGCTGGAGTCGTTATATCCGATGAGAGGGCTGGACAAACCGGAAGCGTTGGATTGTTGAGGCGTTGGACAAACCAGAAGCGTTAAATAGCTGAGGCGTTGGACAAACCGGAAGCATTGGATTGTTGAAGCGTTGGACAAATCGGAAGCGTTGGATTATTGAGGCGTTGGATAAAACAGAGGCGTTAAATTGCTGAGGCGTTAGACAAACCGGAAGCGTTGGATTGTTGAGGCGTTGGATTAAACAGAAGCGTTGAATTGCTGAGGCGTTGGACAAACCGGAAGCGTTGGATTGTTGAGGCGTTGGATAAAACAGAAGCGTTGAATTGCTGAAGCGTTGTACAAACCCAAGTAAGGTACAGCCTGCGATGGTGTCAAATCACAAATAGCTCTAATAGAAAACGGTGGAACTGATGCGTACTCTCGCCAGCTAGAGTCAGGGGAAGGTCCCTGCCACTGGTGCTATGCCTGAGCACGCTCGTCACCAATTGCCAAACGCTCGTATCTCCTGCACGTCTCCTAACAGTGTTGGTGGCTCGTCATCCGCTCCTCCATCAGCTTTGGCCAGATGGTGGTCCCGGTGACTGGTTGGGCTGCTTTATGCCAGCTATAGCCAGACTGGAGGCAGCTCACCCATTATCACTTCACCCAGACTTGTCCGTCCATCCACATGGTGACCGTCAGCACTGGCCAGACGAATCGTCATGTGTCCAGACCAACTAGTCCGAGCTCCCACTGTTGTCCCTAACACACTCCTAATACAATGCTGGTGACTCGTCATTCAGCTTTCCATCAGCAATGGCCAAGTGGAAATCCGATTGGTTGGCCAAGCTATCCCTCGTCAGCAAAGGCCAAACGAAAGGTAACTCAACCAATGTCAACTGGCTCATCCAATCTCAACTGTCCACCTGATGACCGTCAGCAAAGGCCAAACGTGCCACATGTGTCCAGGTCACTTGAATTGAGCTATTAATATTCCTTACACGTGTAATTAGTTTATCGTTTCTTCATATTGTATTACTTTAAAAATCAAAGACTTGTCGTTTTGAGTGTTCTTAAGAGACTGATTTTATTAAAATTTCATTCTTATATCTAACATGATTTCTTACAACTTAATTCCAATAGAATCGTATGTATCGATTCTATTGGTTGATACTTATTTACTTATTTCTAATTGGTTAATATTAATCATAAATACTTGTATTACAGTCATTGGTCTGTCTTGCTCTTTTTATAATTTGTGTTACAGTGGCACACATATGGTCACCAGCTGTAACTAGGGCAAATCATATTGCATGCATACTTACTTGCAATATGATTCCGGAAAACACTTAACATGCTTTATAAACCTCAACCTAAATAGTCAAGCGTATATTAAAACAATTAAATATGCGGCGAAACTGTTTGTCATAAAGAAATGACAAATAGTATGAGTCGAATTTCCAACTCATAAATTATTTTTATATTTGGCACATTGGGAAATGTGATACGAATCGCATTTCAAGTGTTTTGGGTTAGCTTGTCAAGATAATTACCTCACACAGTACGTTGTGTGTGGTCATGGTTTAAATATATTCATATGACAGTACACCCTTACCCTTTAAGAAAAAATTTTTTTTTGATTGAATTAAAGAGAAAAAAAAAATTTTTTTTTTTTTTTTAGATTGAAAAGACTTTGACCATGACAGTAGTACAATGACTTGATTTTAGTTTTAATATTAATATATTGAAGCTTTATCTGTGTAACATTAGTTCTTAATAATTATATTTATATAATTGTGTATAATAATGTATGGTTTACAATTAAATGTATTTATTTTAAACTCTATTTTCATATTTATTTGTACTTAATTAATAATATATCTTTGTATTTGATATACCTATTTTATTATTATGAAACGATTTGTTTAATGGTTTACTTATTTTAAAATCTTAATTCAAGTTGTTTTATTTTAAATCGGTTTTATTTGTTTCTTTTGAATAGCTTGGTGTTATTCTTGTGTATGATTTTTGTATCATTTCCGATGTCGATACTAACATTACTATCCTCTATTTTGATTACTTTATAGGGACCTGTATATGGGCTTGTGCCTTTTCGTGTTCTGTGAGTTTTTATTAATATTTCGTCACCTACATTTAAATTTATTGGCGAACTATTTTTCTTTGAAATTTCTTTTCTCCTAGCTTTTGCACTTATGCTAAACTCTCTTGCTCTATCGAGGGATAATCTTAGCCTTGCCTTTAATTCGTTGGCATAATTTTCTAAGTTAAATATTCCCTGATTGCTATGTATTTGTTCATTTGGTAATGATGGTAACTTACCAAATACTAATTCATGTGGGGAGTAGCCTGTGTCAACGTGTGGGGCAGTATTATAGGCAAAAGTATAATATGGTAACCATTCGTCCCAGTCATCGTCGTTAGCAAAGTTGAGTAGATATTCGTTTAGAACTCTATGGTTCCTTTCTATTGTACCTACCGTTTCATGGTGGTACGGAGTAGAGAAAATTTGTTTAATATTCATAATTTCTGTAACTTTAGTCAGCAATTCGTTTAAAAATTCTGTTCCTCTATCTGATTTTAAGATTTTAAAGGAGCCGAATTTTAGTACGAGTTGTTCTACTAAGGTTTTAGCTATTGTTTTGGCCTCTTTATTTACTATTGGATATGCAATTATGAATCGACTTAATTCACATTGCATAGTTAATATGTACCTGTATCCATTGGATGGTCTTAAAGGTCCAACAGTATC